GTCAGGCCTTGGCTCTGTCATTAGCCAAGGGAGCACAGTCCAGCTTCCATCAAGACACGGGCTCAGTTCACTCATCTCTAAGATGGAGGTACCAGTTTCTGCCTGCCCTGCCCACCTCCCAGGATGTAGGGAGGTTAAAAGGGGGCAGTTTGCATTGGAGTGCCATGTACCCTGGACCGAGCAACATCAAGTGTCAGCTTTGCAGAAGCAGCCTCACAGTTGCTGGCAGCCCCTCCGCTCAGAGGAGACAGGTGCTTTCTGAGATTAGCCCATCCTGAGTTCTAGCAGAGCTTTCCTAGCAAGTGACTTCAAGCAGAGGCCAAGCTTCCTGCTAAGAGAGGTGGGCGGGGGACCTGCTGGCTCCTTCTTGGGGCCTCACATGGGCTCTGTACCATCTGCCAGGCCAAGTCAGCCAGAGCCCAGGGCTGTGCTGAGTCCTCTGAGGACAGGCCTGAGCTCTTCCCAGTGCTTTCAGGAGCCTTGCCAGCTGGGCTGGTGGAATTGCACCCATGTCCCTCTGCGTGCCATCGTCAGCGTTCCCAGCCCCATCTGAACCCACACGAGCTCTGGTGCACTCAGAGTCCCAGGGAGGAGCCCCCTCAGGAGTCTCAGCTGCGGTTCCATGCTTGTCCCTTTGGATGCTGGGTCGGGGATGCATCTTTTCTAACCTCCTGTGTTGCTGTGCGCTGAGCGTATTCCTACTTCTTCCATTCAGTTCTTTCCTTGACCTTGACCTGGAGATACTGGGTACAGTGTGCTATCCCAGGGCTCACAGTCTAGGGTAGCACCATCCAATGGAACTTTCTGTGATGATGGAAATGTTCTAGAGCTGCACTGACCAATATGGTGGCCACTAGCCAGTGGCTGTTGCGCACTTGAAATGTGGCTAGTAACTGAGGAACTGAATTTTAAATTTTATTTACTTTTAATTATTTAAAGTTAAAAAAACAATCTGATTGAAAAATGAGCAGAAGATCTGAATAGATGTTTTTCCAAAGAAGATATACAGATGGCCAGCAGGTACATGTAAAGATGCTCAATATCACTAAGCATTAGGGAAATACAAATCAAAACCACAATGAGCTATCACCTCACACCTGTTAGAATGGCTAATATCTAAAAGACAAGAAATAAGTGTTGGCGAGGATGTGGAGAAAAGGGAACCCTTGTACACCGTTGGTGAGAATATAAATTGGTGTAGCCACTGTGGAAAACAGTATGGAAGTTCCTCAAAAAATTAACAATAGAACTACTATTTGATCCAGCAATTCCACTTCTGGGTATTTATCCAAAGCAAAGGAAAACACTAACTCAAAAAGGTATCTGCACCCCCATGTTCGTTGTAGCATTATTGACAATAGCCAAGACATGGAAACAACCTAAGTGCCAACAATGGTTGAATGGATAAAGAAGATGTGGTATACACACACACACTTGAATATTATGCAGCCATAAAAAAGAATGAATTCTTGCCGTTTGAGACAACACAGATGGACCATTGTGCTGAATGAAATGTCAGACAGAGAAAGACAAATACTGTATGATCTCACTTATATGTGGAACCTAAAAAAACAAAAACAAAAAACAACCAAGCTTATAGAGACAAAGAACAGATTGGTAGTTACCAGAGGTGGGGGTGGGGGTGGGTGAAATGAGTGAACTGGGTCAAAAGATGCAAACTTCCAGTTACAAAATAAATAAGTCATGGGGATGTGATGTACAGCATGGCGTCTATAGTTAATAATACTGTATTGCACATTTCAAAGTTCTAAGAGAGTAAATCTTAAAAATCCTTGTCGGGGGAAGAGGGAGAATCTCCCTCTGCCCTTTCCCTTAA